GCCCCATCGCTTTTTAATATGTAACGGTAATAGCATCCAGGCAGTTTTTCAATTTTCTGTTTTCTGTTTCCGGGGCCATGATATGAAATAAATCAGTTGTGTGGTCGATTATAGGATGATGTGAGCACCACCTCCGCAACGTTGCCCCGGTATCAATATAGGAGATCAATTAAGATGCAATATGAATTTTAACATATTTATAATAAATTATTTCTCATTGTAACACTATATATACCAACAAATCATATAATCAACCATTTCAATAACTTACTGTAGTCCAGGACAGATACTTGTGCTCATTCAGAACGACCATCATCAACATGGGCAGTCGACTTATTCTGACTTGGAATTAAAAAACCCCTTTACTGTCCTTTGCTTGGGTAAAAGGGGTATTAAAGGGTGGTTTCATTACTACGGAATAAACCCATTAACATGTATCCGAACTGACGAAAACATGTCACGCGCCGTTATGTCCACTGCTGCCTTTTGTGCGACTTTACAATTTCACATTGGGCGACATAATTCAATTGGCTGAACGGGACAGAATTTATCAAACTACCTTAAAATAAAGGGGACTGCTAATTTTGTTTAAACCGCCCCGAATTGAGAACAAATATCTGCTCTCGACTAGATACAGAATATAACAAACAACAAATAAATAAATAACCACTAAATAAACAGTTCACAGGTATTTTTGGCAATCATGTACATCAACTCTTGAGGTTCATCTTTGAATTTGGATGCAAATATTCGTCACTGTTGTGTATCAATTGTTAAACGCAATTCCACACGTCCTTGATGGAAAGAGTATGTCTTCGGGTTTCTCGTTCCATCAAAGTGGTTGAATTGCGATGCTCAGAATTTACACATATCGATAGATGTTTGAATTATTTGGACGTTTCCAAATCTAACGTCTCCTTAAATTAATACCAAATTTTATCGATTCTTTAATAAAAAAAATACCGATATCAGCTTCAAAACAGAAAAAATAATTCTTAAAATGACTTTTCGTTTCGGAAATGTCAACATAGGCACACAGTAAAGATTTGAAATGAACTTTGCTTTTAGAAAATGTCACGCCTTGTGTTGAGTTATGTACATATCTTAGCAGTTTCGATCACTTAATTTTCAATACTTATTTCATCTTTGGCTACAACAAACATAATATGTTCATATATACAAATATACTGGCTCAGTTTCACACAGCCCATACGATACATCCAGCGGCGTTTCCACGGACATTTGGCTGTTCGGGCGTTTGCGCCTCCCCCATGCCAAATTTTAAACTTAAATGCCCGGTTCTACTGCTCCATCCACCTCGAAAATTATGTGGTCTCCCACTCGGCCATTCCACCTTATGTTCTACTGGATACGCTTTGACCGAAAGACTTTTAGAAATTGGACCGACACAACCTTAATAGGATTCTTAAAGGCAATTTAACAAATTATATACATAGAGGCCTTCTCCCAAAATATCTGAGGTAAATTTTGCCGTATCATTTAATCGGAGCCGTTGGGCGTTGCGGCAGATGTTAGCCTCACAGGCGTTCTCCATGAGAAACTAAGGTAGCATACAAATTCAGGTGTAGAAGACTGTCGATGCTAGGGTTAACACCTCACCCTTCCAGTGAAATCTAGTTTGTATTAGTTATTGCACATTTTTACAATTTTAACCATTATTTACATTTTTACAATTTCAACAAACAAACCATAATACTGTCAAGTCGTTTCACGTGGTTATATAAGATGATAGTATATCCTAAAGAGAAGCTTCTGTAACCTAACAAATGCCAACCGCCAAGGGTCCGATTCACACAATCATTACCCTTATCGAACAGCAAGAAGCTCTCATGATCTCAGTCTAAATAAAATTAGACCAAACTTTCGCTCCGCTTTTTATTAGCTTATATTTTAATTATAGCAGTTTGAGTCTTAGGACGGCCTTCTTGAACATTCGTCGGTTTGATGACACCGCCAGCCAATCAAATTTCAGCCTTCTCCAACGTTGGGATTTTGTGACGCGAACAAAAAGGTGTATTCTGAGAAGCATCAGACACTGAATGTACTTTTTGATCGCGTCATGATCTAACCGTCAAGTAAACGAACCATTATATCGAACTACAATGTTCGCGAAGCTCGAATGAACTAATTGCCAAAGACTCTAAATATCAAATCGAACCATAAGAATCTTCTATCAAATAAAACCACACTCATATCGTACCCTAACCCTTCATTCTGTTCTTAAATAACAACATATATATTGTTGTTTCCTATTTTATAAATATTTAACACTATAGTACACATCAATATATGATGGACTTTATCAATTAAGGCAATATGAATCATCACCAAATATAGAATTTTCATTTACACCATTCAATTTAATTGGTTTATATAATCATACCACTAACAAAGGGCACTTATTGTTTATACAGATGTGCTAATGCGTGGGTTATATATAATAGCTTCTCTGGCAGTGACGTGTGTTGGGTTGCAAATTCACTAGGTTCAAACCTCCCGACAGGACCAACGGTTTTACACCCAAGAACTGTACATCTGTTAGGTTTCTGTCAACCATGGAAGTTCTGTTAGCGCATTGATTCGGATTTACGGAAACTGCCGAAGGTTGTCGAATGGTTTCGTAATCAATGTATTCAGAAACTGTACAGCTATCCGAGGTTTCGGACCAAATGTATTGCTAGCGCTTTGTAGCAGATTCAGCTTTACGGAAACTGCCGAATGGTTTCGGTCTAACGACAATAACCAATGTATTCGGGAACCGCGCAACTGTCAGTGGTTTGAGACTGACAGCAGTAACCAATGTATTCAGTAATTACAAGTGTATAATACAAGTAATTTAAGTAGCTTAGTTTACCATCTCGCCCGGATCGATATACCCCAATGAATAAAGCATTATTGTGGAACCTATCAACCTATTTAATATTGTCATCAGTGAGTCACCTTTTTATTCAAGACAGTATTTTATCTTCAACACGTTCGAAAGTATAACATTTCTACCGTGGTTACCTTTAGCAGGTAAACCTCGTAGTTGTAGGTTTTAAATATTCATGATGTCACATGGTTTTAGAACCGTCCAATCAACACGCTTATTGATATTCAATTTTTAGGTTTTTTGTTAATATCAACACATGAACGCGACGAAGTCATGAGGAAGGACAACTTTATTCTTTTCGATTGAAAAAAAGTCGTTGAGAATAGTTACGAGGTCTCTTCCAGTATGATATCAAGTTGATAATCCAGAAGGCAGCACTGACATATATGATAAAAGTTTTGTCCCAGTAACACATTGTATAAAATATTATAACTAAACGAGTTATCAGATCACACTAAGTGGATCGGAGACATAACTCCCTCAAGGGATATCCTAATTCTGTTATAATCAAGCTGTCTAAAATAACCTGATAGGGTAGCACTGGTATTCATAGAACACTATTGTCTTTGGAAGTAACAATTAAAACAGTGAAGAGAGTCTGTATTCTTGAAAACATAACTTCAGATGGTTCTAGTGTTTTAATGATTCTAGTGTTTTAATGATTCTAGTGTTTTAATGATTCTAGTGGTCTATGACTATCACTAACATCGATTCCAATATTTGTTTTAATAATCAAATGGATTACTGTATTTCTTAACCCCTTGATTTTATCTGAGTTAAGTTTTCGAGAATAAGGCCCAGATTAGAAATTAAAATACGTTGTACCATTTATTAGGGGATTACTTCACTTATTCCTGGATAGTTTGATTTTTGTTACCTGACTCAGTCATGGTCTGGTTTCCTCGTAAAAAAGTGAAATCTTAAATTGAAATTGAAATATAAAATGGAAATCTTATTCGGTAGTAGGTTGAAATTTCTTAAAAGTGGTCTCAAGTAAATAACACCTTATTGCTCTCTATCTCTTCATGAAATATTTGTTCATTTTCATATTTAATGAATTCCTCTGATCTTTATCAAGAACACTTGTAATGATAGACAATCAACATCCCTGGTCTAGTCTAGACTTAATTTCAATTCAATTCTAAAGTTAACTTACTCTAAGGAATATATGCATTGCTAAATTAAATTTTGTAATTACAGTTACAAATATGGTTGACAAATGTTACTCTAACCTCTAAATGACAGTTAATATCGTGCCTAACTCGTTCAAGTGCAGTTCGGAATCAGGAACCACGTTTCCAGTTTCCATCCATTCTTGAATATGCCAGTTTTAGGTATACCTGACAATGCAACACCCTAGAACACACTGATACATCTGGAAACTGGACTCCTTTCTGACTTAATCGGTTGTTGACCTCTCCGCCGCTGACTCATCAGATGTTTAAGTGTTTTCTTGATGGTCTAAGCTCACTCCCAACCTAAAATTTGCCTAGAGTCCGCTATTTGAGTCTTCACAAACCTGACATGCTGAAGTACAATGTGCGCGTTAAGCGTGGACATGGTGTAGGAGACAAGTCTGTTGATTTCCTTTGTTTACCTGACATGGGTAGCAATGGCAATGCTTAATGTTCGGGAACACATTCAGTCTCGGTTAAAATCATATAGTTGCAGACAGATAGCAAACCAATGTGGATTCAGACGAAACAATCGTACTTATCGGTTAAGTATTCTTAGTCGCCATCAAGTAAATCTCCGATGTCAGCTTTTACTGGAAGCGGACGTTCACTTGTCATCCACCAACAACTACCTAGTCTGTGATATCAGTTAGCTGGAAGCGGACGTTCACTTGTCATCCACCAACAACTACCTAGTCTGTGATATCAGTTAGCTGGAAGCGGACGTTATCTTGTCATTTACTAACAACTACCTAGTCTGTGATATCAGTTAGCTGGAAGCAGAAGTTAACTTATCATCTACCAACAACTACCGAGTGTGCAATATCAGTTGGAATTGCATCGTCAACTTGCCATCAACCAACAACTGCCAACAATATTTTGGGCTCCTACGCGGGTTTATAACTATAAGGCTACTTGTAAATCACAGACATTTAAACGTGACTATTGTTACAGTTTGAATCGCGGTGAACGTGTCCATTTAACTCACTTTTGACTGGCTTCATTTTGAAAAACCCCGATTGATGTTTCATAAAGCATTTACAGAATATTTCGGTGAAGGTGTCTCGGAACTGTTTACTCATGGAACAATACAACACAAAATTGATAGAATTATTCATCAGCGCCATGGTGTCTATCAGATCACCGAGTTTATCGTAAACATACCATTGGAAACATTGAATAAATATATTCATTAAGGTTAGGATACCCTGAGGCAATTCGGTTAACGTAAAGAGCACAACCACCGCCAACAACATACCGGTCGTCCTATTATGTTCTCCATGCTTGTCCGATTCGGCTTTGCGACCTTGCGATTTCAAACGCATGCGTTTACGGTACGCTTTATGCATGGCGTGGATTAGAAGGATTGTTAATGTGGTCAGCATAGCACAAGGTAATAATTTAAACAACACAGCCTGTATCAGACTGTTGGTCTGTTTGATAATGTCTGCGGCCTCACCAGTCACGACTGTCGGATTATAAATAGTTTCATTAATATAATTATATCTCACGGTGCTGTTTATAATTTCAGACGAATTAGTTGTCCTGATCTTATATTCAATTCGATTAGTGGCGTAATTAGGTACACATAAGATCATGGTCAAGATATAGACAGCTAGGATCGTCAACTTGGCGCGCCGTTTGTTACAATAAATCGCACCTTTTGTCGGGCGGCAGATATAGATATAACGGAATATAGCTAAGGCAATGGTCAACCAGATGGCAACAGTGTGACACACGATGCTAAAACTGGCATGGAACATCAAGAAATAGATCACTCCCGCCGATCGTGTATGAAACATTCGTAGTTGATCGTCTCGGAATACGTAAAAACACAGAGAAAAGGGGAAATAAGACAACATGGTGAACAAGTCTGCCACGGCGAGCCATAATAATATTAAATTTGTTGGAGATATCATATTCTTACGCGTTAAAACGATAATATTGGCAATGTTCGCCATGATTCCAAAAGCACAGATAACAGCACTTATATAACCGTGGAATACTGAATACTTCACAGAGAAACTGTCCAGCTTGGCCATGGTTTCCAAGGAAACGATTCCTGGTATATATCCCAGGACACAATCACCACCGATGCCACCTGTCATTGATTCGTTACCCAAATCCTCCATTGTCGTCGTCTCCATTTTATTTTGTTAATTTATCAAAATTTCTTCAGGCCTTCATTTTTTCTGCAAAATAAAAAGCAGAGTTTAAAATGTCAAATTTCATTAATGGTTAATGGTTATTTAAGACAGCTACGAAAAGGATGTCATCTCACATAAGGTTAATACCATTTGACCTATCTTTAGGTACCATCTGATTTTGAAGCTCACCGGTTGACTCTAATTGTTTACCCTTGTAATAAAGATATTATTATTATTATTATTAAAATAAATCGTGCCAAAAGGTATTTGTTCATTTTTAGAATTATCATATTTAAGATCTAAAAATTGTTACCGATGGCTAGAAAAAAATGGATTGTTCACAGACGCATATTTTTTTAAAATTATGTTTTTAATATGCCAAATATGACAAGTTCAGAAACAACAAGTGGAACAAGAAAGACGATTTCTTATGTTGCTGTGAAAAATGACATGTATTTTTCCGCTTCAGACAGAGAAATGTGATCAATAAAAAGATATCTGAAAGCACCAAAGCTAAATGTGGAATATTATACAAGCACCTGTCAGCTAACTGAGAGTTATTACAACTGATATGAACTACTTGAGCAGGGCCATATCAATCATAACCCATGGTTTTTATTCACTTTGGTATTCATAACTCATCAAAGTGTTCAAAATGTTATAATTTACTACTAGCACATCTGGCGATCAAAATGTTATGACAAGTTGTCTCAGCCGAATAATAGTACATTAAAACGAGACATTTATTTTTTTATTTCTAAGAAATTTTGATCTGCAGGCAACCATTATAAGCAGGTGTGAAAATATTCGCCATGTCAGTATTTTTTTTTTAATTTAAAAAAATCCTAAAATAGGGGTTGAATTATTAACAGACAGGTGTTATAATATCATACATGTCAGTTTTTTTTAAATTTTTCGGATGAAAATTACGCGTTTTGTACAACAACGTAGATGGTTATCACCAAGCCCGTGACTTTGGACTGTGGGCTGTGAACACTATTACACATTAGCTTAGCTAAAAAATTACCGTTTCTGAGACTAAAGTCTGATTTGTCAAAAAAAAATGGTGAACCTGTCTCTTTAACACTTAGAAACACCATCACAAAAAACAGATAATAGCTTATTATAATCATATAAACAATTTAAAGAATATCAACTTTATTAAATTTAAAACATAAGAGAAAAAAATCAGATTGCAAAATTTTCGCTTCTTAATGATAGGCCTATTATTAACACTAAAAATCACTATTACACAAATCAGATTAAAACCATATAATCATATAAACCTTGAATGAAATTATTAGAAAACAATGAAAACTGTCAATTGACTAGTAACAAGATAAAAAAACAATGAAATAAAAAAGAAACTAATTAAATAAATTGTGATAATATGTCTAGAGAAAGAGGGGAAAATCTAATAAGGAATCTCTGGTCTATTAAAATATTTAATATATTACATGTTTAGATCTGTATCTGTATTATCACAGGTTTAAAAGATGCAATTTCTATCCTGTTTCTTTTTGGCTGTTAGAAAGAATTTTTTTTATCATCATAGAAAATAGGATGCTCGGAGTTTGCTTGTGGATTGCATAAATGTCTATAGCTTTATCATTAGACAGTTTAACTGATTTCTTTTTCATTTTCCAGAAAGAGATTGTTTTTAGCATTTATAGTTTTTTTTTTAGAATCACAGAGCTTGGAATAGGTTTTTAGTTGCATAAAACTAATTATTGCCCATCCTTAAGAATGGAAATAGAATTCATTATCAAGACAGGAATTAACTAGAATAAAATTTAAAGAAAAAACGTTTTATAGGACCAATTTAGATACAGAAAAAAAGGATGCACTATAGACACAACTTTGTAAAAACTCATTGATAAATTTGGAATAAGCTGTTTGTTACTTCCATTAAGGCAGGATTTAACTAGAATAAAACTTAACAAAAACTGTTTTTATTGGATCAATTTAGGTGGGTTAGGCCCCCCTCCCCTCCTCTCCACGGAAATTTTTAAACATATCCTCTCCTGCAATTTTTTCTTGGGGAACTGGCCCGTGGACGCCTGGACTTGGTTCAACCAATGCTTGTGGTAGTTGAGCCCCTGAAAATGGGATCTACTATAGACACAATTTTGTAAAAACTCATTGATAAATTTGGAATAAGCTGTTTTTACTTCCATTAAAAGTAAATAATACCTGATTGAGTCCAATAAAGTTTAGTGGGACAGACATTGGAAAATATAGTAAAACTAGATGACAAGATAAAGTGTAATTCTAAATCTACCCATTGTTAAAAATAATGAATTATATCCTTTCATTAGCTTATCACATTTTAAATAAAAACTTTAACAATAACCTGTATATGTGCCAATTATCTTTTTGTTATTCTGAAAGTGGAATTTTTATACTTGTTTGCCTTTATTGGTTTAATAAAATACACACAATACAGATACAAAAAGAACAATTTTGTGAGTAAAAATGCATTAACAACTCTTCAAATTTCTACATAAATTGAAAAAATATAAACCCTTGAGTTATTATTATAGAAATGAATATAATTGAATTATGTTGAGCTCATATCATGCAGAATACATATTTCAGATTCAAAGACACTACTACTGACTGCAGTAGGCTATTTGTAAGGAATAAATCTCATCCAATCACCAAAATTCTGCTCAGTTTCTTTCCCAATTTCCAAAACAGTTGCTTCCCCTTGTTCTCATGCCCCAAATCTGTCAAAATTAAAAACAACAATGACATGAACTCATGATTGTAAAAAAGGTAGGCCTTCTCTAGGACATTATTGTTTCTTTCTCAAAATATAGACAAACAAACCTCAGATTGGAAAAGGTTCCATTCTACTATCTCAGTCTACAATGTGATATGACCATCTTCAACTCAAATCCGAAAAAAATAGTAACCCTTTCATAGCTAAATGAAATTAATGGAGTTTTACATCTTACTTTTCTGCACCATGTAGTTTCACACCTAAGGTTCTCTGATGTCATTCATTCTTTCACAAAGAATAGATCAGACAGTAGCGAGAATGATTGTTGTCTGGTAGGTGATTCTGATGCCACCCCAATTGTAAGTCTTCAACCCTATTACAGGACAAATATAACCAAGACTAGAAAAGACATGATACTACAAATTGAAATGAATATTTTCAAACTAGACTTCAATACAAGTATGTGCAGAATTAGACATGAAAGGTTCCGCTCTGCCACCAACTAATATGCCAAGACAGTAGATATGAAAATCAGGACTACAAACTGAAATGACTGTTTCTAAACCAGACTGACTATGACTAGAATAAAAGTGATGTTAACGTCAGATCACAGGAAGTTGTCCTAGAATAATGGTAGGTTTGCCTGTCAGACGTGGACAGTTGGTGGTCTGTATCCGCTACAACCGCCTTCCTGTTCTACTAATGGTATAATAAGACAACATTGTGTAATCACAGAGTTAAGTATCATCTACCAACCTTCACAGTGCTAATAAGTAAAAGGGCAGTCGAAGTTCGTAACAGTTTGACATTGTGAAGATGAAATATCCCCGACAGGAAATTCAAATCCAAAAGCAAAGTATATTAGTTCTAGTTTGTTAATTAAAGTTTATTTATTATCAATATTAAGAAGATAATGGTATTCTCTGTATTATATTACAGAATAAAGAAGTTTTGTTTGTTTCCAATATTGCTATATCATTTTCTGTTAGTTACCTGGTTACATTGTTGACAAAGCTTTGTGTAATCTGAAATAATTTTACTTTAATACCTGTTAATTCTACTTGACATACAAGAAAAATGAAATGAAATGATTGGAGTTTTACGTCCTACTTTTCTGCACCATGTGTTAACATACAAGCAATAAGACATGATAAATAAACCAAGTACTAACGATCTGAACAACAAAACGAAATGTGAAATCCAAAGACAACATTAGATTATATTTTATCTTGTATTGTGAGAAATACAGGGAGCAATAATAGTTCCATGGGTTTAGAGTGGAGATGCAACTGAAACATATGGGTTGAAATAATGAAATTATAATTTTCTGCTTTCAAGACCCCTCACATGGTGATGATAGTTCCCTGCAAGTCTCAAATTCTAAATACAACACCAACAGACTTAAATCAATGCCAAGGTTTTAACAGTACAAAACCAGTGTTCTATATATAATATCTGAATCCTGATGCTATCTATCAAAGATACAATATGCTAATTGGTGACCAGAACAATGATGACTCTGTTTACAGATAAGATTGCCTTCAAAGATAAAGAAAAGAAGAACAGAAACAACAACTTTTTACAAGAATCACAACTTACAATCTCAAGGTTCCTTTCTACCAGTTGGTCCTCTGCCAAACCTGTTGATATTGATCTTTCTGGACAAACCAAACCTATTACCACTAGAATGATGAGGACAGATGACTTATTCTAGATCACCAGACTTGCTCACAACAACCAAGATTAAAACCCACAACACCATTGGTTCTATTAAGCCAAACAATTTACATCCAAATTCTAACAAACAAACCAAGTTCTTTACGTCCCATTCCCACATGATTCCTTCATCTATTAATTCTAAGACCAAAGCCAAGAATAAAAATCTATTTGGTTTATCACCATCATGATATAACCTGCAAGAGATAATCTACCAGAGTATTAAAACCTGAGATAAATGTCAACCTGTAATACTTCCATCCCTTGAGAGATCAGCTAAGATAAGTAGGAAATCGGATGGCTATGATAATTGATTGTAAATGTAACAAAGATAACGGTAAAATTAGTCCGAAATTGGCAGACTCGAACAGAGTCTCTGTGGTAGCCAGATATGAAAGTTGTTGCCCATTCTGAAGGTTACTGACTTCCACCTAGTCTCTGATAATAATAGAAA